AATATCAAGTATTAAAATCAATTGTATTTAAATTAATAGTTTGATATTTTAAAGAAATATGCTTGTTCGCTCTCTTGCCTTTAAGAGGTGTTAATGCCTAGAAGCAGCCTTGCTAACATTAGTGTAAATTCCTGTAAATGAGCCTAAAAACAAAAGGTTAAAGCTGGACACAGTTTAAGTACCCTCTCCCATTATTTTTCCTGTGTCATTCTGCTCTCTCCCTGATTCTTTGGTCTGGTTCACATTGTCTTCCTTCCATGTGTCTCTCCTTCAAAGGGGACAGTGTCCGTCCTGCTGAGTCATGGTATGGTGGTACATCTGTCTGACCACATTAAAGGCTTGGTGCCCCGGACCCACCTGTCTGATATCCTCCTTAAGAACCCAGAGAAGAAGTACGTGGAGGGCATGAAGATCAAATGTCGGGTCAGTCCAGTTCCCTACTTGAAGCCCCTCGAGAACAAATGGAGAATCAGATCTGCAGTTTAAACTGTCTGGCAGATTTGCAAATCATCTTTCATATTTGTTTTATTCCTCCGTTTGTGTGTGTGAATATCTTCCCTCAGGTGCTGTCAGTAGATGCGGAGAACAAGAAGTTGTACCTGACCAGAAAGAAGGCCCTGGTTGAGAGCTCCCTGCCATTGTTCCTCAGCTACACCGATGCCCGTCCTGGCCGCGTGTCCCACGGCTACATCGTCTGCATCAAAGACTTTGGCTGCATCGTTCGCTTCTACAACAGCGTAAAGGGTCTGGTGCCCCTCAGCGAGCTCAGTTCGGAGCCCGTCATCAGCCCTGAGGAGGTTTTCTATGTGGGGCAGGTGAGGAGTTCAAAGGGCATGGACACAGAGGATCATGTCTAGTTTAAAATGTTCTGCTTACTGGTTCTTTGGTGTCTTTGACTGCCCTTTAAAGTTGTTTGGTTTCATTTATTATCCAGGTGTTAAAGGCTAAGGTTCTTCACTGTGACCCCGATAAGGCGAAGATGGTGCTGTCATTTAAGTCCGCAGTGGAGAGAGACACTGAGGAAGCCGCCAAGCCCCAGTTTGTCTGTGAGGTGGGGAAGGTAGGTTAAAGACCTTATGCCTCTCGCTCTTTTTTCTAATATCTCATTTATCACATTTTGACCTCAACATGTGTATTTTTATGATGCAGAGGCTGGAGGCCAAAGTGCTGAAAAAGTCACTCAACGGCCTGGAGGTGGCCATCCTCCCTGATGAGATCCGTGCTGTGCTACCCACGATGCACCTTTCAGATCACATGTCCAACTGCCCTTTGCTGTGGGAGAGCCTGCAGGAGGGAGACAACATCTCAAACCTCATCTGCTTCAGCCAGAACAAACAAAATATTGTATCCTTTTTAAAAAGAGTCTGTATATAATGTGTGAATCTGTAAATATTTTTACTGGTCTTTCATGCTTATCAGGAAGCAAATTCACATATTTCCTAATTATGAAAAGCAGGAAAGTTGTTTCTGTTTTCCTTAGCTGCTCTTCTATTAAAGACTCTCACCAAGAAACCAATAGTGAGGTGGTCACTGGAGGAAGGAGTGGTTGCCAAGGACTTTTCCGAAATCACAGTTGGAATGCAGCTGATTGGCTGGATCAAGAACATCATGTCCTACGGCGTCTTTGTAGAGTTCCCATACGGTCTTGTTGGTCTCGCACCCAAGTCGGTAAGTACAGGGCTTCATGTTGTATCTTCTAACCTGAAAAGCTGTACCTCTAAGTGTTTATTTCCAGATTAAAATGCTTCCTCTCCTCTGCTTATCTGTAGGCCATGACCGACAAGTTCGTCAGCGATACGGCAGCTGCCTTCCAGCTAGGCCAGACGGTGATTGCCAAAGTGACCAACCTGGATGAGGAAAAGCGGCGTTTCCTGATCACACTGAAGATCTCAGAGGTCGTAACTCCGGACAGCAATGCTCAGACCACACTCATTAGTGGTCTGCAGGAGAGAAGGGCTGTGAATGAAATGTTAGCTATGAGAGGTATGATTGCATTGTTCTGTCCCACTCTCTAAGTTTATCTGCTCATAACCACATAAAGAAATAATAGTTTCAGTCAAAATGTTACTTTTAGATTCTTTTAATTCTTCATTTGTGTCTAAACCTCTCATTATCTCTGCCTTCACCCTCAGATAACAGTGACCTCCGCCAGCAGCTGTCTGCTCTGTCTGTGGGTCAGAAGCTGAAGCTGACTGTAGATGCTGCGAAGGACAGCGGTGCCACCTTTAAGTCTGATGATCTGGCCGGAGCTACCATACTGGCCACCAAGCACCATGTCATGGGTATGTATTTAACCAGAAACATAAAAATTTGTATAGAAAATTCTGAGATGTTCCACTCCTCCATGATGATAACCACAGTCTTTGCCACTGCCAACCAGTGTGTGTGTGTCACACCTCTAGAAATGAAATAAATCATATTTTCTGTTGGCTGCAATGTTTCCAGGTGTTAACTTGACCCCAGGACAAAAGGTTACTGCAGTCATCCTCCATGTTGATATCCTGTCAACCTGTGTCCATGTGTCCATCCTTTCCAAGCTGGTTGCGAAGAAGAAATCTGTGAGTTATTACTTTTCTCAAGCCATTTTGAGGTATTTCCCAACACTGCTCTTTCTGGAGCCTGATGTCTCACGTTTTCACACAAATATAGATGGTTGAGTCAGATCATAATATAGATTCAGATCACAGTTACTGACTTAATAATCTCTTTTCATTGGTATTTTCACAGTTAACTGAAGGATCAAAGTACACAGCAATGGTGCAGCACGTTGACAAAGACTTCGCTGTCATCTCACTGGACGATACGGCACAGCTGACTGTGATCCAAACTAACAGCCACCTGAACGAGGTATTTCTGTCTGAGTCAGAGAGGCTGAAGGCGGGGATGTGTTTGGCTGCTGAGGTTATAGAACCCAGCTGTCAAGAGGTGCAGGGGCTCCCTCTAGTGTCGTGGCAGCGCTGCGCACCAAAACGAGCGCGCACAACCTCAGAAAACCAGACGGCCTCCAAGGGCCACCGCTTTGGCGATATCGTGCAGGGTAAAGTGCGGACAGTGAAGCCGACCTGCATTCAGGTCATACTCGAGGATGGCAGTGTGGGCAGCGTGCACGTGTCTGAGGTGGTGGAGGTCGCTGAAGTGTGTCAGGGATTCTTCCCCACATCCTCCGTTAAAGTGGGCAGCATGGTCACTGCCAGGGTTATCGGAGGACGCGAAGCATCCAGTCACAGGTACGTACTGCAGGAAGAATCGACATTTCTTATCGCAAGTTCCTTCTTTTCTCATGTTGTTTTGATTCCACTCTTAATCATAAAGCCAGTGTTAAAGTGTAAAGCTAATTGTGATGTATTTTTTGTTGAATTGTGTTGAACTTAAAATTAATCTCAACTCTCTTATTTCAGATTCTTGCCCTTCTCCCATCCCAAATTTACGTACACCATTCCCGAGCTCACACTTATACCCAGGTAATTTTAATTATCATGTCAACATTATAAAAATATACAGGTCAATACCCTTAATATTATATAATATACTTTATATATAAAGTCAATGATGAACTTTACAGTCCTTTTCCAACCCGTCATCCCGACTCCAACACATTTTGTGGTTTGTTTTGTTATTTATTTGTTTCCGTTTCTTTTTCTCTCTTCAGCAAATTGGATAAGAGTGCAGATTTCAAAGCAGTGACGACAAAAGAAAAACTCAACAGCTATAAGGTCGGGGAAGAACTGACGTGCTTTGTATCAAAGGTGAGTTAGCAAAATCAGCTTGCAGAAACTTGCTTTATTTCTTCCTGCCGCTTTCCACAAAATGTACCTTGTGATCATAAGTTGACAAATAAAAAAATCAATCTAAAAAACATAGCCACAGGCGAAGGTTTTCATCGTGTTCATGTTTCTACAGTTTCATCCAGAGAAGAAGTCATTGGAGGTTACCACTGATCCTTGTCTAACTGGGACAGTTGAACTGCTGGCTATGATCACTGATCCAAAAGTAAGTTTGTTGGGAGTTTTATTCATATAATATATTCAACTCATACAAATGGACAATAACAATAACTCAGCCACAGACAGCAACTTCAAAATGACTGCACCTCGACTGTGTTTAAAGCTGTATCCATGTCAGGAACATTTCATGTATATATTAGAAGAGCACATTTAATTTTTTTTTTAAATAATATTCTGCTTCTTTTTAGGATGCCGGCCACCCAGAGAAACTGTTCAAGCTGGGCCAGGCAGTCCGTACCAGAGTGGTAGAAGTCAACTCCAAACCTCACCGCTTTGTGCTGTCACTCACAGGTACGAGAAACTGTTTTCATTGTTTGCTGCTTCTCGTCATCACATTTTAAATGCTATTTCATTGTTTTACTTTTGTTACTGTACCTATTGCTTAAGGTTGATTATCAAATGCAAAAAGACAACAAGGACTAATTTAATTTGTGGGGTCCTCTTCTTTCCCAGGTGTCCATAAACTGGAGACAGGCAGTGTTACTTTGGGGATGGTGACTAATATTCTGCCACAAGTTGGCCTCATAGTCAAACTTCCCTTCGGGGGCACAGGGACTGTTGCTGTCACTGACCTGGCTGATGCCTACAGGCCAAAACCCCTGGATGGGTTCAGCAAGGATCAGCTGCTCAGGTCAGTGAATGCACCAGTGACCTTTTTGGCTGAAATGCCTTTTAATATGTACTGCACATAGTCTATTAGGCCAATTTCTGCCTTGTTTTATTTCAATTACAAACTGTGATGAACTCCTGTTTATTCTTTAACATTTTTGGTACCACTATCAGGCCTCAAAAACCCATTTATATAAATCTGTGAAGTTTAGATTTAGAGTTTGTTTTTTGCCTCCTCTTTTGCCTCAGGTGTTTCCTTCTTGGGAATGAAAATGGCAAGTGGCAGTTGTCTCTACGTCCATCAAGGTATGAGTGAGTTTCATTAGATTTGTGAGTTTCTGTAACAAAGTCAGAGCTTTATTAGGCACATATGTTATTACAGCATGTGGTTGACTGTAACTTTGTACTTCCAGGCTGAACCCACAGCAGGTTAAGCCAGTGAAGGACCCCGAAGTTTTATCTGTGGAAAATCTGAAGGCAGGCCAGATCACCAGAGGCTACGTCAAGTCTGTGGGAGAGCAGGGGGTCTTCATCAGGTAACTCATCCAGCACTGAAATTAAGCTTTGACTTTCTTTGGCATCAGACCAGCTCCAGATTTTTCTACACATCCTTACTCCTGTTTCTGAAGATATTCTCATTTAACACATTTGTCTTCCAGGTTGTCAAGGAGCATCACAGGAAGAGCCCAACTTCAGCAGTCCACCAAATACTTTGTCAGCAACCACAAGGTCCTCTCGGAGCATCTGCCTCCCAACACCCTGCTCACTACCAAGATCCTCAGGTAAAAAACCCATAGATTCACATTCTGTGGTTGGAGAGTGTTTGAAAATAAAAGAAAGAAATAAATCATAATACGAGACACGTATTGTAATGCTGATGGTATGTCTTTATATAAGAACTTAAGGTAGTAGACATCTATTGAATCGATACTGTCATCACGTCATGTTTAGTCTGCAGCTCTTTCTATTCTGGTCCTCAGTATTAACAAAGAGGAGGAGTTGGTCAACCTTTCTCTGCTCCCAGTGGACACTGGGAAGCCGGATGTACTTCCAGAATCTCTCAGTCTGCCGTTGCGTCTTATCGGAGATGAGAAGAAGAAACACGATATTCAGAAGAAGAAACGTACATTGTCTGAGAGCGAACCGGTAACCAATTCTTTCACTCTCACATCAAACTCTCTCTCCTTCCTTCCTTCCTTCCTTCCTTCCTTCCTTCCTTCCTGCTTTACATTAAGTAGGAAACACATTGTTGATGACTCACTATTCAGCCTTTTGAGGTCCTGGAAGTAATCAGTGCTCCATAGAGTACACATACATCAATGCTGTCTCACTCATCAATCATTCATTATCCTTTGGTTTGACAGTAATAAATCCTGCATTGATCTTAGCCCCCATTTAAAACGGTCTGCGTCACCAAAGGACTTTATCTATATGTTGTGGTTTATTTTCCAGAAACAAGCAGAGTCCCAGGTCCCAAAGAAGAAGAAGAAAACAAAAAAAGCAAAGACTGATGGCAATGACAGCGGCGTGGAGGTGTACTTCAGAGAAGAGGAGGATCAGAAAGACGAAGAAGAACCCAAATCCAATTCGGTAAAAGTAAGTAAATATGTTGCTACTCACCATTTATTATTATTATTATTTTTTTTTTTTAACCTTAATACAACTCTCCATTGATTTGGTACAGTTATATTCAGAACATGGAAAATAGATTTCACCTCTTCTCTCTCAGCAGGCGACGCACAGCTCAGGAGGTCCATCCAGACTGCAGGTGGCAGCAGGTTTCTCCTGGGATGTAGGACTGAGCTCCCTGAAGCCTGCCTCTGCAGCGCAGGACGGGGACTCCAGTGATGGAGAGGACCAAGAAGGAAGCAGCAAGGTGAGCAGACCATGAAGATACATGTTTAATCTTAGGATTATCAAAGAAATACAACTTTCTATTGTCGTTTTTTTTGTATGCAGCTCAAATATCAGCTGTTTAAGTCTTTGGAATTTATCATACTCACCACTCATCTTCTTTCCTGTCGAACAGCCGAAGCAGAAGAAGTCTCGTCATGAGCTTGAGCAAGAAAAAAAAGCAGCAGAGAAGGCCCTGGTACAGCGGGAGGCTCAGCTGATGGATCCGAGCCTGCAGCCCCAGGATGCAGCCGCCTTCGAGCGCCTGCTCCTTGCTTCACCCAACAGCTCCCTGCTTTGGCTCCAGTACATGGCTCACCATCTACAGGCTACCCAGATCGAGCAGGCCCGTGCTGTGGCCGAGAGGGCCCTCAAAACCATCTCCTTCAGGTGATTCATAGAATTACAGACAGATTTTTTTGTAGTTATTCAACTGTGGGAGTGTCATTAACATCATATATTAAAGAGGTACTGCACACGTTAACATGTTTTTTGAGTTGTAAACTAAATTGTATGATGTACTGTGATGAAACTCATCAATGCTGGATATTGCCATTCTCATCTAATATTTGAAAACCAGCATTTCAAGGGTTGAGAATGACTCAACACGTCATCTACTGTTTTAAATCACCCTGAACCTTTCAAGGCCAATGCTGACATAGAGTCGACCGTTTGGGACTAGTTCACGTGCTGCGCTAATTTTCAAATGTACACTAATCCAGACGCATTATTCACATTCTGAGCAGTTTATGTCATTGTTGTTAACCCTCTACTTAGTATTTTTGCTATTTTGTTTTTTCCCTTTGTACAAATAGTTGTATTTTATGTAAAACCAGTCCTGTGTTGGTTCCAGGGAAGAGCAGGAGAAACTGAATGTGTGGGTGGCCCTGCTGAACCTCGAGAACATGTACGGCACAGAGGAGAGCCTAAAGAAGGTGTTTGAGCGGGCCCTGCAGTTCTGCGAGCCCATGCCTGTGTACCAGCAGCTGGCTGACATCTATGCAAAGTCCGACAAGACCAAGGTACAATCTACTGAGTGTTTAAATACCATACTTTACACATCTTGCCCATTTGTTGTGACTGATGCTAAAATACTGTGTTCTGTAGCCACTAATGTCTGCATGTCTCTCTTTCTCTGCGTTATCTGCTCTCTCTGTGTTTGTATCCAGGAGGCAGAGAGCCTGTACAAGACAATGGTGAAGCGTTTCCGTCAGAATAAGGCAGTGTGGCTGAGCTACGGCACATTCCTGCTACAGCAGGGTCAGAGTGACGCTGCCAGTGCTCTCCTGCAGAGGGCGCTGAAGAGTCTGCCCTCCAAAGAAAGTAAGATGGCTTGGTGTCCAAACACTAAAGATGTAATGTCACAAAAGAGTCTGTGTATTTTAAGACACCCTCTGTTGATTGTAACCAGCCAGTTCTCATCCTCTCAGCTGTGCAGTCTATGTCAGAGTGCAGACTGTTTCCCTGTCCCAGCTGTGTGTCTCCACAGGTTTTAACCTTTACGTATTGTCATGCTGTCTCCCAGGTGTGGATGTGATCGCCAAGTTTGCTCAGCTGGAGTTCCGTTATGGTGATGCAGAGAAAGGTCGCGCCATGTTTGACAAAGTACTGACGAGCTACCCGAAACGTACAGACCTCTGGTCCGTTTTCATTGACCTCATGGTCAAACATGGATCACAGAAGGACGTCAGGTGAGCTTGCTCTCTTTTCTGGCTCCTCATTGACACATTTAACACATTTTGTTTCATTCCTTTTAGATTCTCTGTTAATCAATAGGTAAACATACTTGCTAAGAACAAGTGAAGACTGCTTCATTTAGTTTTTCAACTTCATGTCTCCCGCAGGGCGCTCTTTGATCGCGTGATCCACCTGAGTGTTTCAGTGAAAAAGATCAAGTTCTTCTTCAAGCGCTACTTGGAGTACGAGAAGAAACACGGCACCCCGCAGAGCATCCAGGCAGTCAAAGAGAAGGCCATGGAATTTGTGGAAGCTAAAGGCACAGAGGCTGCCAACTAATGACCTAATACACACAATAATACACACATGGTGTATGTGCGTGGACTGCAGTTGGCTAAACTAGGCCTGAGCCTCACACCCGTTTGGAAACAAGCTTGTGGCGCTGAATGCTCGTACAGATTCCTCCTCAAAATAATCAACTTCTTAGGTTGTAATATGGCTTTTTGTATTGTCGTGGACTGAGGGACTTTTGAACCTGACAGTCTGCGTTTGATGCTGTAATGTTGCAGAACACAACATTTGTAAAGTGAGTTATAATCATCTATAAATGTTAAAGACATGCTGGTATTTAACATTTCACCTTCATTTTAGTCAATTTTGTATGAGAACTAGTGTAAGCTATGAAGAGAATAATTAATGTTATGACTGTTGGTTTATTGCATTTCTTTTGAATGGATTTATAAAAGGTTCCTTACACATTTTGTGGGAGCATTTTCTATTAATCAGGCCAGCCTTTCAATAAATCCAACACCATTACAATACATTACGTGACGTTTTATTTAAAAGCAACAAATACAAAATAACAATATATAGGGACATGTTTACATACAATACATACAGGCAAGACTAGTTTTCTATCAGTCTCTTTTTAAAAGGAGAGGGCCTGGGACACAATCTGTAACAATATTGTCTACTTAAATCGTCATGGTTGTAATCCCGCTGGTCTTGGTTTCAGCCGGAGGTTGTGGCCACCCCTGACTGCTGGAGCATTTCACCTACGTTGGCAGTATTGAAGATGCATGTGTGGCACAGGGTTATAGGGTGACTGACATGGTTTGTGCTGGCTGTATTGGTAACACCCCTGAGATAATAGAGGTATCCATACTGATCCTGTACTCTGATGTCCTGCTCAATGCCTGAAGTGTTGTTGGTCTCTGGCAGTGCTGCACTAGTCGTCCAGTGACAGTGGCAATGATATCCTGCTCTCTAATGTGGCTCCTTTTTCCTGTCATGTTTTTTGGTGAACAGTGCAATATGGAAGTAGAACTAGGAGCATTTTTATGAAACGGTCCTATTCATCCAACTGACTGATCCCTGACTGATCTGACCGATTCATTTTGGTGCTGTCAATATCCAATTTCCCACCAAGGCATATTGCTCAAAGGTCAGCAGCAGGGCGGCCACTTGGGATCATTATCAACATTTCCTGTAAGATGTCTTAAAGATGACCGCTGTCCATCATCCCTAGTGTATTTAATGTGTGTTTTTTTTCTCTGTAAGGGGAGTCCGGTTTCCTCTCTCCCAGCTCCCTCACACCTCCTCTGGGTCCATTGGACCCTCAGCTCCCTGGGGAGCGTCTGTGTGGAGCCGGAGGATGGGTTTGTTACACATGGGGCACACACTGCGGATCTCCAGCCACTTAAGCAGGCACCTGACAGGACAAAAACAGTAACAGTTGGCTGTTTAGATCAAAAACCCTCAGAAAGAGCGGGGAAAAAGCTGTACAACGCTTGCTGATAAAAGTATATTTTCAGCAATTATGGTCTATTACATTTACTTTGGAAATAATTAGCTGTTCAAATACTGGTGGTCCTTGTGTTTTTTGAAATAGAAAAAAATAAAGAATTGAAAAATAGTGCTAATCACTCATTAAAGCAAACTGCAGCCACCCACTAGTTGGCTAGCTAGCTAGTTAGCTTGTTTGGAAACACAAACAGCTAGCCGGACTCTGTTTAACTGTAAGGAAATCCACTCACCAGCACCTCTAAAGCTCACTTACGAACATGGAACTTACAGCCTATTTAGTTGGTACAAAATGGTAAGTGTAAACCGAAGAGCTGTGGTTTTATAGGTTCTATGTGCTTGGTTATTTTTAGGATGGTCGCAGTAACTTCTTCAAGAAGGCTAGCTGCTTACGGTAAGCTTAGCTAACCATTGTCCTGGTAGCTTGTTTATTGTACAGACATGAGAATGACACCCTTCTTTTCATCTAACTCTCAGCCAGAAAGCGAACAAGTATATTAAATTTCCCACAGTGCTAAACGGTTTATTTACACTGATCTAATTTTCATTTCCAGTTAAATAACACTCACTTCTTGTGAAATGCATGTGAGCATGGGCACACTCCCAGTTCATCTCTGGTCCTGAATTCTTCCAGACACACCGCACAGGTTTGCTACAAGAACAAAAACAATAGCAAGGTTAGTGTATGTGAGATTTTAATGTGGGCTTGTTTTGCCAAGAACATTGGCATATGTAAATTTGACCAGTAAATTCATTTTAATTTGATCTAGATTTCGAGCATACCAGTGTTTTGGAAATGATGCTTTTATCTTAACTATGTTTTCTAAGTAACAGGCATATTCCTGCCTTCCCCTGTAGTCTGGACATTGAATTGAAAAACCAAAATTACCACCACCGCTGCCTTGGAAAAGAAAAAGAGCTTAAAATAGCAATCTTTATAGAAATCACAAGACAGATAGGGGATCTTTTTATAATGCATTTTGAATGAGTTTGGTTATTCGTGGAGTCCTGGATTCTTCTACAATAGAGAGCCAAGCAGCCACTCTGACATTTATTTAAATTGCTGCATTTGAGATACAAGATATTTTCAGGACATCTCCTCTGAGTGTGTGCAGCATGTTAATCACATCCGAGAGGAGAAATTGATTGAGTTAACCAACCGAACCCTCCCAGCTCATAATGGATCATATGAGCTGGCACGGAAGCAGTGTGGGTGACATGAAGTGTGTACAGCTGCCAGGTTTTAACATATAGCTTTAGCACAAGTGACACATGTGAAAGTCTTTTGCAGACAGAGTAACTTACTCCTAGGAGGCTCAGTTTCTTGCTTGCTCCCTTCAGCACCACCTATAGTTGGAAAAAGGGAGAGGATGGAGAGAAGCATTGGGTCATGTGAATGATGTGTCAGCACTATTATGTTGGCAGAAAATCTATGGTGTAAAACAAACACTTCAGATGGGTTCAATGTCCTGATGTGACTGGCTTAAAAATATCTGCAAGCGCAGTGTGTACTCTTTTGTTTGTTGCATAGTTTTCCATAAAAAACAAAAAAAAATCATTATGAATACAGATAACTGCAGCTGTAGCTGGAGTTCAACCTTCCCCGGAGCTAAAAACATTGTCACCAACTGTCACCACACCTACAGCACCACACTGTCACACCCTGCTACCTGCTGGGTTAACCGTTTTGAATTAGTGTAGGTAATGACACACGGATGGAGTCAAGGTCATCTATAAAGGGTGGTGTTAGGTTTCACAGTTGACTACAACGGTGTGAAATGCTATCGTAGTATTTATAACTTGGCTCAGAAGCTGGTGTTACATGTTCACCCACAGTGACATCTACTGCAGTAACATACCTCATTGTAGCTGAACTGCTCCCTTGTTCCTTGTTGCTTCAACCTAAGAGAGGCAGAATGACAGCAACATCTGTAGAAGTAGAAGTGACTGTCGAAACAGCTGTAATTTAAGTGAGTGGTTCCCAGCATCC